CTGCCTTCAGTTACCATTCAGTTAATCTCTATTGAGGGTTTAATTCACTGATTAGGTTAAGAGTCTAATAACTAAATCATTTCACCTCTAAACTTTCTTGCATTGTTTCACACATGAGTTTTTGAAGGATACCTCACATCTAAACCATAACACATGACCTGCCTCATTCCCTCCTGTGAGCATCCTGGTTGGCTGACAAAGAGCAGGAGTAGGCATAGAAATTGTTTCCCCAAGGATTGTGGAAACCCAATCAGAGAGTGCATGTTGAGCATCAAAGGACCTGGCCCGTAGTGACTAATTGACTGTTACTGCTCTTCATTGTAAAGATATTATTGTATGACTTCTATTATTTTAACATCAGACAAGGTCCAAAAGAATACATTTCTGGAAGGTTCCTAAGGATAAAATTAACACATGGCAAACTCCAAAACCCAAGCTGCATTTTAGACTTTTTATTTTAATTTTGACTATACCTGCTTTCAAAGAAATAGAATTTATATGTCCACCTTCAGTAGATATATAACCCTGATGTCAGTAAGTACCTTTTATTTTCTTCCTTCTCATTAAATCGCTAAATTTACCAGGACATACACATACTCAGAGTAAATTCAACTAAAACAGGTGTCACAATTAAACTGAATTAAGATAAAAGGAAACAGAGGTGAATGCAAACCTAACTTACATTCTGTAAGGCCTCAGTCAGATGGAAGAATAATAGAGATAATAGAAAGGTTATACCAAGGGTTGAATTTCACATGGATCATTTGATATTCTGTCTGTGCCATGAGCAAGTCACGTTGCATCACATCAAATCCTGATTCCATTCCAATGGCGAGTGTCCCATTGTTGCTTCCTCGCCTTTTGCCTCTTCATTTCAGGGATGTAATTGCAGGGTGAACCCTTGAGAGCTTGTTGCTTAACTGCCCATGTGTGCCTATTTCACAATCTGCCACTGTCACAAGACACTCTGGTTAATAAGCAGATAATGGGATATGCAAATTGCACGTACCTGATGAGGAAGGAGAAGCATGCCTTCTCACCTCTGTATAATGACCAGCCAACTTCTTTGTGACACGGAAGCTTCCTGGTCCAGGTGATTTATGGAACATTCTCTCCAGACAGGAAGAAATGTTCCCTTTGCCTTTGGAAATATAGATAATGGAATAATTTTCTTACGATTTACAGAACCTGGAGCATGGGAAATTCAGAAAAGTCTTTGGACAGGAGAATCTTTCTAAAATGGGCACATTCAACCATAAAACAAACCAAGTTCCATATTGTGAAATGTTTTTCAACCAGTCCCAGAAAAATTGATACAATATAATGAAAAATCTCAACAACCTTAGGGATGCTCACAAGAGGTCAGGTTGATACTAAAACTTATCAGAGACAGAAACTATGGTGACTCAGCTAGGTATCCTAGGAAATAAGAAGGTGGGGGTGTGTCTCAGTGATGGAGCACATGCTTGGCCTATGAGAGGCCTGGATCGGATCCTCAGCACCAAAGGTAAACAAGAAAGAAAAAAAAAAAGAAAGAATTAGAGATTTTTCTTTTTAATCAGGAGTTACTTACATCTCTGTCTTGGTCCTCCCTGGGGCACTGTTCCATCAGACATGATATCCTAAAGAAGTAAGTCCATCAGCTCACCATTCTGAAACAAAGGAGAGAACACAGGACTTAGAGACAGCTATGGTATTTGAACATCTTTGACAGGAAGAGTCATGAAGTCATAATAGGGCCTGTCTCAAAGCCTCAGTTTTCTCATCTACAAATAGAGGGAGAAATGACATAGCCTTTTCATGGGATCATTGGAAGATTAGAAAGTTGGAATGATTATAGAAACGGCTGTGTAGTTTCCCTCTGCTCTCTGGAATCTCCTCTCTCTATCATTCTCCAGCAGCATCTCTGCCCTGAGAGACCTGACTGGATAGATTCCATATCTACTGTCCCTCTAGCTTTTACACCGGGCTTGACAGCAGAAAGCACTGGAAGGAGAACAGAAGGAAGGAGATTGGGGCCAAGTTGGGGCGTGGGGCTGGGGTTGGATTTTCGCAGCTCCCTCTGGCAAGATCACCCAAGCTAGTCATGTTCTTTTCTCCAAGGTGGTAGCACCTACAAGGTCACCAAGTCCACCAGCCCTTAATGGGTTCTAATAACTATTCCCTCCTTTATGCTTAGGTGTGGTAATGGTGCCAGCAGTTTATTATCAGCTCAGAGTCCTACTTTATCCTTTGTGTTTTTTTTTCTATATCCTGCTCATACCCATTTTAAAAGTCCTTGTATTAAATACTGCTCAAATTAACCTAATTTGAATATAGAATCTGTTTCCTGATGGCTGTCTGAAGAACACACACTCTAAAAATGTTTTATTAGCTAATAGACGTAACAGGTCTAATTTAAAATAATAAAATGAACTCTAAAGCTGACAGTCAAATTCCCTGTTTACAATGCTTCATTTATTATTCCTTTGTTACAATTAAATAAAGAAGCCAGGAAATTTTTTTTAAAAAAAAATACAAACAACAAAAAATTCCTGCAAGTCAGTGACATTTTTATGTGGGCAGGGGTAGGGTGGGGTGAACAGATGAATTATTTCCAATTTCATCTGGGTTACTACTTAGATATATACATGATAAAACCTGCAATACTAAGCAAACAAAACATACATCCATCTAAAATATTGTCTCATCCTAAATATTGTCTCAAAATATCCCTACAAGTATCAGGCAGAGACCCTCCAAGATGACACAGGTGTTATGGATGAAGTTATCCCAACTTGGGATATGTCTATGGCATAGGATTGCTATTCCTTCCATAGAGATAACAAATCTTTGGTTCAATCAAGGACAGAGTGGCAACTGGGTTCGTGCCCTGATTAGACACTGGCCCTTACTGGCCCCACTAGATAGCTATGGTGAGTCTCTGGGTCTGCATCCGTTTTTCCCCAGGTCTATACTGCATAATAAATGGGCCTGGGCCAAGAGACCTCGCTCCTCTTTCCACCTGGCTTTGACCACAGGAACAGACATCTGTCTTTTAACTAAATGTCACATAACCAACCACTTACAAAAAATTCTCCCAATTGACTTGAGACTCTGAGGCCACTCTAGATGAAAAATTTTAAAAAGAATGAAACCCAGTCATTCCACCTCTATCTTAAAGAAGATGTAGCTTTTTTTGTTTGTTTGTCATTGTTGAGTTAATTCATAACTTGACTTTCACAGACATAACCTGAGGATGGAAACACACCACCATTGCACAGACAAAAGCAGAACATTTTAATTGGAGTGATGATGGAACGTGCCCTATGTTTGGAGTCAGGAATCCTGTGTTGGAGGCCCTCGCTCTCCCTCTGATTACTGCGTCACTGTAGCCACCAGAGCCTCTTTTCGAGCCCATTGTTTTTCAAATCCAACTTAGAGATATCAACAGCTCCCACTGAAGGAGTTGTCATTATTAGCAAATGAGGTAATAACGAATAACATCCTGAAAGTAAAGTAGTAAGTAAGTGCGTGGCATTGTTGCTATTAACAAAAAGTGAGGACAAGCCTGCAGAACTGCATGTGACGGATCAGTCCTCAGAGGTGCACAGTTAAATGCTCATGGGACCCACAGGCTTTAAGTATCTCCAGCATTAAACACTTAGAGTGGATTAGGGAGAAAGGTGCCCCAGGTAACCTCTTCTGCAGGCAGGTAGAGTCCACTATGGGGAAAGAATGAAGTTGAACAACTCCTGTATGGAGCCAAATGAACTGCTTTGGAACTTTCCTTCCTCATGGTGGCCCTTCTGTACAAAATGTGTTCAGTTCACTTGTGCCTCAGGGGTTTTCCAGGGCCTGGAAATTTTCAGAACTAAAATCAGTGAAGTTCCGGGCAGTGATCATGAGTTGGGAACCCTACCTGTACAACCCATCCTGCCCTCTTGGTCATATTCTGGAACTGTAGATTCTCAGGGCATGGTAGTTTCTCCACCAAACTATACTTTTATCTTCTTTCCTTTTGAAGCTCCAGTACATCCTTCCAATCCATTGAATGTTCCCACTAAGCATTCAGAAGGAAGAAAGGTGCCAAGAGCCCCCTGTCTCTTGAAACGGACCTGCAGAAATATTATTTTATTTTTATTTAGCATTTCTCGTCCTCTCCTTCTCTCCAGTTAGTTCAAAAGGAAAGCAGCAGAACAAGGCAACCCACCTGCAAATGAGAATTTTACCATTTCATTCCACACACTCCCAATAGAGACAGTTTGGGAGAAAAAAATATACTTTCTCTTGATTTCACAAACATTATTCAAAATATTATTTTCTCTTCATAGCTGCTGTGAACCGAATCTCCTGAGTGATGTTATCTGCTTAAACAATTACTTTTGCCTGGAGGAGAGTTTGGTTGGGTGCCTAAAAATACTTCAGATTAGTTTTTGATTGTTGAAGACCAGAGGTCATGACCATCTCATTAGCTGAGGCACAGGGATCCTCTCTCCAGACCTAAAAGGGCAGCAGCAGAAGCAATGGGAGGGAGACAGCAAAGCCAAATTGCAGCAATTATCCTCCATTTTAATTCAAATTTGATTTAGCTTCATTCACTTTCATCAGCTTTTTGGCACATAGACTGAGCCCGGGGTGCTAGCTGTAGATGTTCAGAGATGAACAAGCCTGAGCTCTTCTTTACTGGGAAAGAAGAGTGGGGAGGGAGCACCTCCATATGCACACACAATTAACCAGTTAGGGCAGATGGTGGTGCATGCTATAGAACTTGGCTATTATAGTGTGGTCCCCAAAGGCAGCATCAGCATCACCTGGAAGCTTGTCAGACAACCCCAGATGGAAGTGAATTGGGATTAGCATTTGGACAAGCTCCCCAGATGATTCCTATGCACTGTAAAGTCAGGGAGCACAGGTGATGTAAGGGCATGTGCTAGTACATGGAAGGAAAGAAAGATGCAGGTAAGAGCCTCCCTGAAGGGTGAATGAAAGAGGAACTCCTAAAGGAGAGACCTGACTCCAGGGGAGTACCAGGTCCATACAGAGATCAGAGAATCGACCAACAGAACTGAAGCACAGAGTTGAGACTACAATGAATTTGGGATAGGATCTTGAATGTCAAGCTAGAAATCTGGATTGACTTTAAAGAAATGAAGACTTAATGATGTGTTTATAGAGGGTTTTAGGACTGTGCTTTAGACACACAGCCCTGGCTACCATGTGGAGTTGGCAAGTGCCAGGCTATGACTGTGTCCCCCAAAGTTCATGTGTTGGAA